AGAGGGCAGTGTCACTGGCCCTCATATGTGGGATCCGAACCGGGGCCCTCTGGCATCCCAAGCCAGTTCTTAACCATTGCGCCACTTGGCCTGCCCTTCTATGTCTTTTCTTAAGTCATTCCATTAACAAGGAATGCCTCAAGCATTTCTCCACTTAGCCATACTCATAAACACAACAGTTGTCACTTACTGTGCATTGACTATGTGTTGAAGAAGGAGAGAGTGTGGACAGGGTACACCAGTTCTTAAATGTTTTGGCCTGGAAGTGACACACATCACTGCCACTCATATTACATTGGTTAGAACCAGTCCATGGCCCTCCTGAAGGCAAAGCAACTGGGAAGCAGAGTTCTCCCATGTAACCAGGATGCAGAACAGAACCAGACAAGACTGGTGAGGTAGAAGGCTCTGTCAAGAGGCCAAAGCCAAATATCTGCTCTATGAACTGGAACACATGGTAAATAAACTGCAGAGAAGAAAACAGGAACACTGAAATACCGAGAACCAAGAGTAGCTCTCCTATAAGCAAAACAGGGCATGCCAACAGGTGAGCAGGCCTCAATGACTAGCACAGGTGACCAGTGGTCCACAGTTAATACCCCGCTTCAGGACAGGTGACACAGATTCTCATATAGGGGGTCAGGTTAATACTGGGGCACTGCCTCTTTGGGTCATCTCACAGTGAATATGATTTTTATATTCCTCAGCTTCTTCATGAAAGGTGATCTACAAAATCATGTAAGATAAAAACATTGTGACAGCAACTCAGGTAGACACCAAGCCTGAGTCCTGGTACGGGTATACCTCTCCCTCGCTGATGCACGTGTACACACGCGCACACACACACACACACACACACACACACACACACACACACACACACACCACAGCCGAAGCCAGGATTTATATATTCTGTCTATAGTTTTGGCCTGGAGAACTCAAAGAAAGGACTCATTACAAGAACCTCACCTTTTGTGAAGTTAAATGCTCAGTCCATCAGGCTCTGTAATTGAATAACTAAGCTCCCTGATGTGGGTTTGCTGGAAGAAGTCTGCATCTAGCTTGAGAATTGAGTTAGGATTATACCTATATGTTGATCAGGTGGTATTGGGGGGGGGGTGAGGATTGCTAGTATCCATATTCATAACAGGCATTCAGTAATATTTGCCGACAATGCTGTTAGTGGTAGCAACCTTGCACACAATATCTCTGACCTTGAATTTGACTCCAAGGTAATCCAATAGCCCACTAGTGTCACCAGGCAGCCTGAATATGGGTCTGGCCAGCCCTGAAGAAGCCTCCATGTGCCAGTTCTTAGGACTACACAGATAAACTAATTTGAAATCTTGCTTCAATATTTGAAAGCTGAATATTTTCAAAATAACTAGCTAAGTTATTTTAAACTACTCTATGTGTATAGGTACAACATGTTATCCCCACCGAATGGACAACAATAATTTGGCAATTTCTAGCCTGAGCCCAGGAATTCGTTTCGGTAAGTGTAGATCCTAGTATTGATCGAGCCAATGATCACAAAATGGTGGCATCGAGTGGTCACTGTTACAGTGACTGGACATATCTCTGGGGTTTCCAAGAGCAAAATTAAACTAATGCTTTTAGCGGGCGAGAAGTCAATGATCTTGCCGTTTACTGTAATTACTGCCCTAGCATGGACCTGAGCAGGCCTCATTCTTTTGATCTCTGAAGACCCTTGTTTCAGCCCTCACAACTGAATTCAATTCGATTCCATTTTTACTGGAGTACTTCTGTTACGTATGGTATTCATATCTGCAGCTAGAAAAAGAATGATGATGATAATAAGAAATGTCATCTTATCATATTCACTTTACAGATGAGGAAACTGAAATTTAAAGAGGTGACCTCAGCTGCGGCCAAGGAACGAGTGGCAGAGTGGGAAGTAGAGAAGGGCTGCACTGGCTCAGAGTCCAGCTTAAGCCGCCACTGCACCACATTCCTATCCTCGGAGGACTCACAGTCCCATCTCTGGGATCTACAGGATGCACCACTGCAGCACCTTTGTGCACCCCAAGACATCAACATCACCCCAAAAGCTAGGTCTGTCCCGTTGTCCTATTCCCACCTGGCCTTGCCTCCTCTTCTCTGCCGTATATTCCAGTCCTCTTTGAGAGCAGGAGAGCTGGCCCCAACCCCCATCTGAGCCATCTTGCCTGATTCTAGCCAGCTTCCTGCCAAGAGCTCAGACTGCTGCTCCCAGCCCTCACCCCCAACTCAGGTCCTTCTGCCTGGCTTTGCGGTAACAAGGAGCAGCACAGAGTGCTTACGCGTAGCCTCCCTTCTCTGAGACTCAGCTTCCTAATCTAAGAAATGGAGGTAATATTAACTCCCCTGAAGGCTGAATGAAATAATCTATGTACAGAGCTCAGCAAAGGGCTTGTCTCTTGGGGGCTCCCCTATGCCTGAGCCTCTTAAGATCATGCTTGGCCAAGAAGATCAGACCACCCTCCCTGCATAGCATTAAGGGAGCTTCGCTGGGATTTGTACACTCCTTGGATGCTGTGCTCTGCCAGGTCGGGGGCCTCCTTCTGAAACCAAGCCAGTTTCCCTCGCCCACATTGTATCGGCCAAGGGGGCAGGGCTCGCCTGTCCCCCCTGACAGCTTTGGCTGAGGTCCCAGCATGACTGCTCCTGCTGCCACACTTCAGAGCAGCACCGTTCAACAGAATTTTCTGGGGGTGAGGGAACTGTTCTACATCTGTGCTGTCCAAATGGAAACCAGCAGCCATAAGTGGCTATTGAGAACTTGAAATGTGGTTAGTGTGACTAAGGAACAGAAATTCTAACTATTTCTAATGCATTTTAATTTAAATTTAATTTTAATTAGCCCCACCACATGTGGCTGGGGATAGTGACTATCATAGTAGACAGTACAGGTGTAATGCACGTGCCCCCAGGTATATTCCCTGTCTCTCTGCTTCTCTCCATGGGGGGTTGCTTAGCCACTCACAGTGAGGCTAAGCCCCACAGGTAACTCCCCACACACCCATTGGCTTCTATAGATGAGCCTAGAGTACTCATCTCCGCCTTGAGAAATCCACCTCCCAGTAACAACCCTTTTAGGGGTCACTGGAAGGTAAGAAGGAAACGGACAAGCAATCCAGTGGTGGGACTGCAGCAGCCAGAGCTGAGAAGGGTGTATATAATTATATATCCCAGAGCTGGAGAAGATTAGAAGTGCTACAGAAGTGAACGTCAGGCAACATGATATTCTACAGGTGTGAAAGTAGCATTGCTATAGGGTTGGCCAGCACTCTCTAAATCAAAAATATCTGCTGCTGAAAAAACGACGACAGTGGAGTGAATCATCAACTAGAGTAAAATGGGATAGGAGAGACCATACAGGGCATCCAGGCAGCAGACCACCCCTACCAACCTGACTGCCTGTGCACTGCTTCTAAGGCTGTATCCTTTATCAAAGGCATATCTGGTTCAAATTGAAAATGGACAATGAAAAAAGCAGCATAGAGTTTACAGCTGAGGGCACTGAAGCTTAGACATGATGAGTTATTTACTCAAGTTCATTCAGCTTATAGGACTTGTACCCAAGCTATGACACCCAAGCAGAGGGGCTCCAAGCGTCATCCTCAGTGACCCAGCATTCACAAGAGGAGTGAGCTTACACATAGCCAACAAGGTCATTTTAATGATCTAGGCATCTAGTAAGACTGGAAATGAACACAAAACCAAAACAATCTTAGTACCTGATGGAGGTATAGGACCCAAGGGCAGAAGTGAGGGATTCAGGAATGGGGATCTGATTTAAGAATCAAGATGGTGACCTGGGGTTGTGATGTGTTGGACTAGAAATTGCAAGGGGAGAACTAAATGAAAATATGTTGAGAAAATTGTTGCAAACTGAACAAAATCTCAAGAGACTACAGCATAAAGAGAAAGCAGCAACAGCCAAAGTATTGCCAGAGAGGAGACAGTGGCAAAAAACTGACATTAATTGTCCAGCATGACACTGGGCCAGGTAGCTGTATGCATCATTATTTCACCTCATTATCCACACCACAAACCTGTTGGAGAAGTGACATGAAAGCCAATGTTTGTCATTGGCTTCCAAATGTCTATTCTCAATCTAGCAACATCCCACACCTTTGCCTTGGGGATACCCTCTTCCCACCCTCCCTCTAAAGTATCCAGGGAAGTCCCACTCCCAGTGCCACTCCCAGTGCAGGGGTGGGTCATGTGATCTAGCCTAAGTTAATCAACACCGCCCATTCCTCTAGCTATCATGATTAATTCAGAGAGAGGTGCAAGACCCAATCAGCTTCAGTGAGACCCAGTGAGATTTTTGTTGGAAATGCTGGGACAGAGGTTTCCACAGGGATTGAAGCCTTAGGAGTGGAAGGGATGAATCCCCTACAGCCATCTTGCTACCACTTGAATCTGAGAATGCAGTCAGCACTGAAGAGTCAAAAGGGAGAGAGAAATTGGGTCCTAGGACGGACTTTGAATCATGAGTCCAAATATGCCTAAAATGGGAGCCCACAGCCTTTCCACTTATGTGAGCCAGGAAATTCCATTTAGAGTGAGTTTTCCAGCATTTCCAGAAGGACTTCTACCTGATACAGAAATGGCCCCCATTTTCTAGCTAAGGTAAACAAGGCTCCAAGTGATTAGCTAATTTTCCCAAGCTTACATATTTATTAAGTAGCCAAGCCAAAATTTGAAGTCACCTCTTCACTTCACCCTGCTCAAAGGAGCTGCTCGGGGGGAGACAACTAGGTTTTTAACTGACTGCAATGTTACAAATGTGAAAAAATAAAGAGACAACAGAAAGACAGGGGTGAATAAAGGACAAAGAGTGAGGACACTGGGGCCGGCCGAGTGGCACGATGGTTAAGAACTGGCTTGGGACGCCAGAGGGCCCCGGTTCGGATCCCACATATGACGGCCAGTGACACTGCCCTCCACAGCTAAGATACTGAACAACAGCTCAACCTGAAGCTGAGCTGCTGAGAGTCGCCGGCGTCGGGGGTTGCCATGGGCTACCATATGTAGCCAGCAGCCAGCGTGAGCGGCCAGCAGCCGGAGCGGCCGTCCAGAAGCTGGTGACTGATCTGCCTCACCTGGAAAGAGCGCAATGATGGTGCCAACTTGGGCCAGTGAAGCAACATCCTCCACAACTAGACTGAAGAACAAAACGACAGCAACTTGTCTATTATCCTTCCCCCAATTCCCCAGCGCTGTTCCCATCCCCCAATTCCCCAATAAAAATCTTTTTTTTAAAAAAAAAAAAGAGAGGACGCTGTAAATGAGGTACAAGGTTCAATGAGTTCTGAAGATTCTGAAAATCTGAGATGTTCCTGATTATCCCATCTCCCCGGTGGCTCAGGAAGGTAGGAGAGCATGGACGACTCTGATTACCTGGTTGACTATTTTAAACTCCAGCTATTCACAGGGCACTAATTAGAAATCATTTCAAGCATAACACCTGTTCATTGATACTGATATTGACTATCCATAAGAATCATTTGCATTTCATTTCTAGGAACAACTATTGTACTAGTGCCAGGAAACCATGGAAAGCAAACCCAGACTCATGAAGACCCTCAGTTTCAGATGGCACACCTCTGTGAATTACTCTACTTATTCAACCTTTTCCCACCAGACCAATCCAAAGTGAGTTCACGTTCCTTGGGAGTTGATACTACCTCATCCATCACAGCCTTAAATAGGGATTATTCAACTTCTGAAGTTTCATGGTTTTCAAATTCATGTCGATTTTATGTCCTTCTCCATGATGTATCTATTTGTTGGTATATAAAAAAATGTTTTAGGAGCTTGTCAATTAAAGTACTTAACTTTTTTCCAACAGTTAACTTGTGAACTGTATTCTCTGGTTTGATGGGCCACATGCATCTTGCAATTTCTCACACAATTACCTCACCACCCAACACCCCAGGCCCTTACAGATCACAGAAGCTGGTTAATGATGCCACAAGATGATGGATTACTGCTTGCTGCTCACCAGGCATCTGTTCCATGTGCTTTACATGCATTAACTCATTTAGTTATCACAACCACCTGTGAATTAGGTACTATTCCCATTTTACCCTTGAGAAAACCAAACCACGAGAGGTTGAGTGACTTGCCCAAGTCCACCGAAACTGTGCAGAGTAGACTTAAGATTTGAACGCAATGTCTCGCGCTTAACCACTGGGCTGTACTGCCTCCCTAGTTCATCAGTTCTTGACGTAGAACCTACCTGTCATTGGTGGACTATAACCAAGAGCGTGTTAGACAGAGGCAGGAATGGGAAGAAGCACCGCCTCTGGCAGCCACTCAGCATCATCTGTCAAAATCCTAAACGCTCGCCTCCTGTAACCTGGCAATCCTATTTTTAGGCATCTATCCTCCTGGAAGAATTGCTGATGTGGACAAGACATGCAATAGGGATAATTTGCGGTGCTGCTTTTGAAAGAGGGAAATTGCAAAGACTAAATGTCCGTCGATACTAGATTTCTTAAATTGACTCTGGAACAGCCATACAATGAATTACCGTCAGGCCATGACAAAGAACAAGGCAGTTTTTACGGGCGGCTTAGGAAATCCTCTAAGGTGTGGGGTTAGTGAAAAAGGCGAAGTATAGAACGCTATGTATAGAATGTGGCAAGAATTTAAGCTTTTAGGCTGAAAGCAGCATAAAACAAAACTGTATTTTTGGACATGAAGCAAGGCTCCAAGGCAAATAGCAGTCAAGATTTCTGTGTTTAAAGATGGTTGATGATGGTCCCGAGAGACTCCTAAGAGGCCAGAGAGTGGACATTACAAATAGTCACCAGGAGCCAAAAGAGTGACAGGCACGTGGGTAGTGTAGGAAAATTCCCTCCTTTATCCAAGATGCTAGAAAATTAGAAGAAGGTCTTGCAGGGTAGCAGGGGACAAGTTGAGTAGCACTTTGGGGGAGGGGAGAAGGGTGTGGCATGGAATACGGAATAATAACCCACACCCTGGCCCTCTGCTCCCGATTGTTTAAAAGATTGTCTGCACCCCACAGACAGATGTCCCAATGGTCACTTATTGTCACCTAGCTAGTTAGGAACTGAGCTGTCATCAGACACCAGATGTCTTGCAAATCCAGAGCTGCCCCAACTCTCCAGCCAGTTAACTCTGGGTTGTTGATCTAAAGGGCATTCCAGGTGTTTTCAAAGGCTGTCTTTATCTCTGGCACAAACTGTATCAACAAACTTGGGCCCAGGTCGCCAGGCTTCAGGGCCCCCCAAGACATGCCCAAAGAGAGCAGGTGTGTCATTTTCAATAAGAAGCTTTTGTTTTGCCAGCTCACCATAAGTTGTGTTGTGGTCCTTTAATTTTCTTTTTTTTTATTGTATTTAAAAAAATTTTTTTATTATTAGTTTCATGTGTACAGAACAATGCAATAGTTATCCTTTTCACCCCTCACAAAGTAACAATCCCCCTCCCCCATCCACTGCCCTCCCACCCCCGATGTCATACTTATCTATTACAATTCCATTGACTCCATTCCCACTCTCTACTCCATGTCCCGTGACTATATGTATATATAATTGTAGTTGACGTACATTATTATTCAAAATCAGCTTCAGATATACAGTGCAGTGGTCAGGCTTCTACACCAACTATGAACTGGTCTCCCTAACACGACCTGAGTCCACCTGGCCCCCTAAAAAATATTTACAACATTATTGATTATATTCCCCAGAAGGAGAAGGGGAAGGGACTAGACAATACAAATTGGAAACTTTAATTTTTAATTCTTGGTTATTTTTCTCCATTCTGTTTTATAGCAGCCACTCACCAATAAATATTATTTTTTTAAATCGTGTCCATTTTCCTGTGCCATCACATCGCTTCTAGGACATGCTATCATTTTGTCACTCTGCTGCATTTTGTATACCTTTTTTCTTTTGCCCAGAATGTGACAGGCCGTTCCATTAGCCCAGATTAGTCGGATACCTGCGGCGATGCTGCCCTCTGCAGGCCACTGCCATGCATGACCTTTTCAGTGGGAGCTTGACTTCAGAATGCATGCAAAGGATAACAGCTTTTATATTGTGACTCCTTTACAAGGGTTGTCTCACTTAATTCTCACAACAATCCCATAAGGTGAAGCACTGTTATTACCCCAGCAAATTCCTTGCACACCTCATCTCTGAGGACCCGAACTGACCCCATTAGCAACTCTGATCACCCAAGGTAACTTTTTTCCTTCGGCAGAGCCATCAGTACTAATTATTGTTAATTCCTGTGTTCTCTGAAAAAAAAAGTCTCAACAAAAGAAAACATCAGCATTCCATGCAAACATTGGCTCTCTCAATACGTACTGCAGGAGGTAGTGAGGGCCCCATGGAACACCCACGGCCAGGTCCCTCCCTCACACGAGGGGGTGGCCGGTGTCTGTGGAGGTCCCAGGCTCTGGGATTCTGAGGCCACCTCCCCGTATCCCACATGAGATGGTCCTCACAAAACTATGAAGACCGCAGGGTTTGTTCCCAGCCTGCCTACCCAAGAGCCCAGTACCTTATGCTGGTCCCTCCCCATCAGCGTCCAGATGTGGAATCCTAGTGGAGCTGTCCATCTGGCACAGGAATTTATCCTCCGGGATATTTCCACCACCCTTTCCCATCACTAGATCTCATCTCCCATTCACCTACCCATGTAATGTGGATCAGAGGCCCCAATGGTCATGGAATTGGTTTGAGCAATTTGGGGACCCACCTAGGTGAACCACACACTGATCTGACACTCACACTGCTTGTGTCGAGTGGAGGACATTAGTTGTGGACATCAATGACCATCTTGCAGGTTAAACAGCCACGAGAAGCAGCAGTGTAGAGGGCAGAGCCTGGGATTTGTGATCAGGAGGCCCAGACCAGAGTCCCGCAGTTGCCATCTTGGGCAAGTTACTCACCCTTCCTCAGCCTTGGTTTCCACGTCTGTAAGTGGACACCAATAGAACAGTACGTCCTCACCACAGTCCACACGCCGTGGTGGGTAATGAGGCTTTGAAGTCAGGCGGACCTGGGTTTGACCCCTGTTTGGATACACTTGAGCAAGAGATCTGGCACCTCTGGACCTCAGTTTCTTCATCTGTATAATGGGCACACTGATGCAAATCTCATGGTATTGCTGTGACCATTAAGAGCGAAGTGTATGTAAGGAATCTGTTCTTAGTAAATATGAAATACTTGGCAGCTATGCACCAAAATTGTTTGGTGAGAATAAGAAAAGGTCCCATACGTGGGAAAGTTCTTTGCAAGGCAAACTAGCCAGCAGTTAGTTCCTGTCGTTATAAACGCCACAGAGCGAATAGAATTAAGGGGTCTGGAATTGCAAGGAGTGGGAGATGTAGCTGAACCAGGGAGAAAGGAGTCGGGCTTTGGACAGGCAGCGGAGGGGGAGAAAGCAGTGCAGGTGTGGGGACCTGGGCCAGCTTGGGAACCTGCCTGAAGCCCCGTTCCCTCGGGGACCTGTTGGAGGAGAACAAAAGAATCAGAGAAAGGAATCCAGGCCAATGTGTCAGTGAGAAGAAAGAGTGGAGGTGGCAGGTGAGGTGCCTCAGGTAGCTCAGGCCTCAGGCAGCTTCACAAGCAGCTTATAATCACACTAGACAATGAGACAAGCTGTAGGCACAGTTACGCCCAAGACACTGTGAGAAGGAGGGGACAATGGGAGTGTGGCTACCAGAGCTCCAAAATCACTTGCCTGGGGACAGGGGAATGAGGAGAACATTCCATTAGATGAGAGAGAGAAGAAGATAGCCAAAGGCGGGAAAGGCAGGCATAGCCCCAACCAGACAGCTCTTTCTATTTGCATCACACTTTCCAGACAGACGTTCACAGACTTTTGCGTGACCACCATGCTGCTGAGGCGGGGACGAGAAAGATGGCCATCCAGTCAGTCAGCCCAGTCAGCCGGCTCTCCCCACTCCACCCCGTTCCTCACCAGCCTGGGTGGGGCTAATGTTACTGTGCAGCTGGGACGGAATTTAAGAGTAACACATTCCGTGACACCAGTGTTCCTATTTGGGAGCTATAGGGAAGGGCAGTCTCACGCCGAGCCCACAGTCAGCATTTTTTCACGCCTCCCTGCCCAACTCCACATTCCTGACTGTAATGCACAGAAACCACTTCCCTCCTTCCTTGGTGAACTCGGCTGGCTCCGTCGCTAGACTGCACGCTCCTTGGAGCAAGCTTTTGCACTTGCGAGGAGAAATGGATACATAAACCAATGAAGAAATCAATGAAAGCATCACGACTTCCGGTTGGTCAGTTAAGTTACAGGTGGACACTGTTCAAAGTAAATGAGTGAAAGCCCCCTCGCTGATCGGCTGTGTGGCCATGGTCAAGATGCTTAGCAAAGCAGAGCTGCTAATGTCTGCCTCACTGGCTAATTAAATTAGATACTGGAAATGAACTTCAGCCATCCTTGCCACTACCAAGTCTTGAGGTCAAGTGGAAACAACAAGAATCTATGTCCTCAAAATTGGTGAAAATCTTGATAACAGCTGCCTATGTTCACAAATGGTGGAGGTGGCTGGGGCAGAGGTAGGCGGACAGGGGGTGGCCGATTAAACTACAATTCTTAGAGAAAAAGGGGCCCAGGCTCTACCTACACCTTGGAGGAAAGCCCTAATCTCCACCGGCCCCTTACTTTCCCTGCAGCTTGACCTAGAAAAGCCCATCTAAATGGTCCCAAGTAGCAGATGCCCCATCTCTGGGAGCAGAAGGAAACACCTAGAGCCCCAGCTCAGGCAGCTAACAAGTGGTCTCTTGCATGGGCTCAGCTGCTGCAAA